TTATGCGTACATTTATCGTTTTCGAATATAATTTAACAAAAGATCACATTAAAAAATATATTAAAAATTAACAATTATACGATTTCTTGCACTAATTTATTTGAAATAATTCTAAAAACATAAAACATTAACATTGTATTAATATAATAATTTAAAATAAAATTCCTAATTATAATAAAACAACATGAAAAGACCTTTCCAGCGCCAAAAGTCGTTATCACTTTCATTTAAATTAAGCTGTCAGAATTACAAACCCGTTTAAAATTAATTGTAGCATGAAAGTTACATTCTGTGCAAATGCATTATTAATTATAAACTTAAAACGAGTAGCAGACGCGTTTGAACGTAGTTTTTTAAAAGCATTTAGCCGTTACAAATTATAATTAATGCCGACTAAGATTACATACTTCAATTTCATTTCTGCAGGAAAATAACTTATTTTAGTTTTAATTATGTAGTTATTTTAAAATATAATTGTTTTAAACGTTTAAAATTTAATTATTTTATTCAAAAATGATTTATACGCCTGAATATCCAGAATTTATATGTAAATGCTTTTCATAATTATTTCAAATTAAAATATACATAACAAAAATAAAGCCTTGAACAATAAAATATTGTAGTCAAGCCTTTACCAGATTTTTAATATCTAATATTATCCCAAATATGTTGGTTTTTCCAATGCTTATGCATTAACCCAGGGGTACTCAACTTTTTTTCTGCTGTGCCGCATACGTATGTTATCTTCTTCATGCAGGCCGCATACATATGTTAGTTATTTCAAGTGGGCCGCAACAAGAGGATAAATGAAGAACAGGAGAAATGCTTTATAAGATCAAGATAACATTGGAAATTTAAAATGTAGAAAACTGATCAAAATACTATAACTCCTGTATTGTTTTTTTAATTATTATACTTTATATTTTTTTATTTTTGTCACTAACATCAAATTTTAAGAGTTAAAGAAACACTCAATTACAATTTCTTCATCAGTAAACGGTTTCATATGATTACGAATAATATAACAAACTTCATAGGATATCTTTGTTTCCGCTTTGATACTACCACTAACAAAACGCTTTGTTGCTGTTACAAAGATTATTGAAGAAAAAGCCTATTTATCACCTTTTGAAAGAGATCTTCGAGGCAAAGTGTCATTGAATGTTTCCTGTTTATTGGTATTTTGTAAATATTGTACTTTCGTGATAAATCAAACAATTACTGATCCATGTTTTTTTTTTCACTACAAAATAATCAACCTCTCTATCGTCTTGAAATGATATATTTCCTTCGAATATTTTTCGCTTACAAGATATAAAAGATAGTTAAAAATTAGTTCCACCCTTAAAATGGTCGCTACTCCACTGTTGTCTGAAATCACTAATCATAACCATTCCAAATAGAAAAAAGAATATCAATTCGTACCCCACGACACTGACAGCAAAAAGGAAACGTGATATATCTGATTACTTTACAAAGAATTTCTCACCCAATTTTTAATACAATGTTCTTAAATAAGTAAATTTCTCCGAGCAGTGGGCCATGACCGGGCCACTTAAAAAGGCTCGGTGGGCACCAGGTTGATTATTGCTGCATTAACCATTCTGAAAGTTTTACTTTTTACAGTTTGTAAGCAGAATTTTTTAATTTAAAGATTAATTAGGAAGGGTACCACCTGTCCGCTTATTGGTGGACTAACCCCTATTGTACAAATTATGCAACTGTTCATACTCATTGTCCAAATTGTTAAACTGTAATGAGCATGTATTATGTAGTTCTATTCATTTCTTCTTTGAAAAATTCGTTCTTCTCACTCCTCTTCAGTTAAATTAATCACTGAAGCTGCATCGTCTCCAACACTTCATTGATAAAGTCCTCAGATTTTGATAAACCTATAGCTTCCTGCAAAGTTAAGAATTTAATTCCGTTGATTGTTAATTAGATATCATACGACACGACGTCTTTTTGCTTCGTAGGAATTCCAGTCTAGGCAATTTTTTCTGCGAGAGCTTACAATAATGTACAATTGCATTGCCAACATTATATGAAACAAAGCACATGGTTGCCAGTTCAGTGCGTACGATACATGCAAATTCGGGGTTACCAACTTCGCGAGCTTCCTTTCAAAGTTGTGTTGTTGTTGCTAATGCCACCTGTCTGACGTAGTCAGAACGAGGCCCACGAAATTCATCGTGGCAAAGGGCTAGAAGTACGCCTGTTGTTGGCCTAGACCTTGAGCACCATACAGGTGACAGAACGAATTAGCTCGGTGAAATTCCATGAATAAACGATAGACCCCTATCTCCACCTCCCCAATTTTGGCATGGAACTGAAGGGGAGGGAAATATTCTCCAGGCCCTGCACTCGTGATTCAGCCCACAAGACTTTCGGACCCACTGATTTAACGAGCACGTACTCCGTGTGTACTCGGAGGATATTTGATGGCATCGGGCATCGAACCCAGGCCTTCCGGTCTGGAGTCCGATGCTCTATCCACTAGACTACTCACGGCTCTTAACGTTGTTATTGCTGCAAATGTACGTAATCAATTTATTACAGCATCACGAAAAACCTTTACATTTCGAGAGAGACATATAATATTGAACAAATTTCACTCATTTTTACTCAAATTTATTTTACTGTTGTAACAAATAGTACCATTTCATGAAACAATATATCCCCTTTCATTCAACTTTTGAATTCCACTGTCTTTGAGACTTAAAATGAATTCAAGAAAACTCTTAGTTTCAGAACTGGAAAGTTGAAATTTTCAGAAAATCATTATGTTGAATAAAGGGCTACTGCACTCTTTTGAAAAAAAATTAAAATACTTTAAAACTTCTCGAGAAGCATTTGGAAAATGAAATCAATCATCTCCTTTTTTTCCTCATCTCCTTCAAAATGTGACACCAATGCTCCAAGAAATTGGTGCTGTACTATTTAACCCCTTAACTGACAGTTAAAAATTACCCGATTCGCTCCCCAGTGCCCCACTTTTTCACGTAAGTGTGAGTGTGCGGTATATTAGGGGGGAAAGAAAAGTCATAAGTAAGCAAATATTTTTCTGAAATAAATAAATCCTTCGCAAACACTGTACATGTCATTGTATTGCATTCTAAAGCATTCGGAGTAGTTTTACTGATAGCAGCGCAAAAAAAGACTCGTATTTCGAAAGGACGGATATATACGTTAGGGGAACATGACGCACCTTTTGAGCTAGATGGATATATACGCCGGCGTCTCTTAAAGGATTAAGAAAATTAAATCTAATTGAGATGACCTCGTCAACCGAATGACTATGGTCACAAAGTTGTGGAGGGCTTTGTCGAGTAGCCAGCTCGAATCCTAGTGCCACTGAAGACCAGCTGTGTAGAGGAGCTCATGCACGTTAAATCTGTCGAGGCTCAAAGTTTTCCCATTGCTGTCGTGTGGGAGTCAAATAGGTGGTGCTAACTCAGGTGTCATCCTCATCACTTCACTGTGGCTCAAGAATAAGAGGCCCGTCACCGATAGCCCTGCGTCGTACTGGGTACGAAAACACACAGTCAGGCTAGAGAGATATAATAAACAATTTTATTTACAGGAACATACTAAATCGCCATCTTACACTCAGAGCACGTGTTTGCTCTCTGCTTTCAGCCGAGACCCTAAAACGGTCCTCGCGCATATCTTGCAGAGGAGTCTATCTTGGAACGCAGGGGAAATGGTTTCTAGGAAACCCTTCTCCCCTACTTCCTCAGGCAGTAACACTATCCCCTCTTGGTCTCTGACGTCATCAACTGGTTTCAGAATAATGTTCGCTACAGCCCTCGTGTTATTTCAGAGTGCAACGTAAATAAGAATCAAATCATTTATATCTGTAAGTAATGTGTAAGAACCAAGAATTAATTAATTATAAAAATAAAATTATGTGTAATCGGGGACATCTTAAGGCATGGGCCAACTAGACCCAGGCCTTACGTTCTCAACTCAGCCTTAAAAAGATCATAATTCAAATCTTTACTACGGTCAAATGTTATTTCCCGTTGTATTCTATGAAAACCTTCGAATTTCGGTTCATATGTCAACTGGCTACATTTGATAACCGTCGTCCATGTATAGACCTCGGCCTACCACCATACATCACCATAACTCATTCAGTCAGCAACCCAGGCAGTGTGGTGGAAATGACCTTCGGCTTGTAACCGAGTGGGTTCGGGTTCAAGTCCCGAGTAAGGCATGGCTGTATCTTCTTCGGGAAAAGAAGTCAGACTTTCACCTGTAATGGGTTCCCGTCTCGAATGGAAAGCAGCGCACCCCTTTTGTTATATGCTGGGATCATCATTTGTAATAAATACCTATATTCTTCCGTCTGTATTGTTTGTTTCTATTCTCATGATCATAATCATTCTTCCACTTGTATTTCATATATATCCCAGGATAAAAAACACACAATAACTCATGCAGTCGGTTGAGCCGGAGTGTGCGATTGTAAATCATGAATATTTGTTTGTTTCGGGTTATTGTTTGACAACGTATGCTATGGGGGCCAGGGCCTCAAGAAGTCTTAAGACATTCTTGTGTCTAATACGGTTTTCTATTCGATTACTTCAAAGTAAAAAATATTTTTTAAAAATATCTTAAATCTAAACAAAAATCTTATAATTTAAATCCATAATGGTAAAAAAAATAATAAAAGCATGATTAATATTATGAAAAGATATTCTAAAAGCAATCATTGCTTATTAAAATATGTTAAATTCGTGATTATAATTCTAATTTAGTAACAATTTTAGGAACTGGTATCTCACGCCTGTAGGATTTCTGCTTTAACCTTCAGAATATAGGGTTAAAATACATTGTTTCATGTATTTTAAAATACATTAAAAAAAAAATATTTTTTTATTGCTTTTTCAGTTTTTATTTTATTTTAAAATTGTTTGTATTAATTATTAAAGTATCAGGTAATCTCAATCTTTATCTCAAATTTACACCCAATATTTTGTCAAAATATCTAATTTCAATATGAAATTGAGATCACATCGTATATATTTTTTTAGATTACATTACCAAAATTCTCTAACCAGATTTACAGCAACATTCATTACCAGAATGTGATTTTTTATACCAATAAATATTTAATAAAAATTATTTAATTAATTGGTATTAAGTCCTAAAAATATTAAAGCGAAGTATTTCAACACATCAAGAACGCGCGTGATTGCTTAAAATTTCATTACTCTAATAAACAAAATAATGGATGAAAATATATCCATCGGATTTTACCATTTTATGTTTTCAAACATGAAGTACCGTATAACACGCATCTTAGTATAACGCGCACCTATACTTTAGAGCTGCAATTTTTTTAATGTTTAGGTATATTCGCCGTATATCACGCACCCCCTTTTTTACGAAGAAACCTGAAATGTACGTATGCAATGTTCTTATGTTTTGACATTAAGTATGTGTCATTTTATGTTGTCATTTATTCAAGGTATTATCCCAGGCATTTGAAAAAAAACAGTATACTTCTAGAAATACTACCCTTTAAGTTCGTAAAAAATGTCATTTCTTTTAAATAAACAGTATTTTGATATATGTAGAAGTCTAATTTTTTTTTCTATACACATCTCTCTTTTTATTTTTAAAGCTCTTATTCTTATACTTGGCGTATAACGCGCACCCGAAAATTTCGATCTTATTTTTTGCGTTAAAAGTGCGTGTTATACGCTGGATTTTACGGTAATTAAGTTAAAAAAGGAAGTGTAACAAATCAACATGAATATTTTAAATCAAAAGTTAGTTTATCTGTTAATTTTCTTGCAAATCGTTATAACTGCCGACAGCATTTATCTTGGGCAATGGTTAATGAAGCAAACTGCGTTAATTAAATTAGTTATTTAAAAATAATTAAAATTTCCACGATTACTTCTTTCAACGGAATATTTATAGCATTACAAACCCGAATCACAATTACGATGGCTTCAATAAAACTTTTAACTCTGTAAGTGTCTTATCTGATTATTATTATCATCATTATTTGCATTGAATTCCATAAAATGCGAATCGATACAATCATGTGAAAGGAGAAAAATTACTTAAAACAGATAACTAACATTGCCTTTTTTTTATCCAGTACAGCAGAATTCCTATCAAGGCTCTTACATAATTACATAAGTAACAAGAAAAAAAGCAACATTGAAAAATTAGTAAGGTGATTAGAAAAGCATTCCTTGAAAAAAAGGGAGAAAAAAAAACTGTCGACTCTGATCTTTTCCTAGCGCAAAATCTTTGAAGCAGAAAACTGATGGCATTTTCTTTGCTTTCTTTTTACATGAAAAAAAGGCCCAATTAATACTATCTAATGAATATTATGCTTAAAAATCTTGTAACTAGCCGATGAAGTTAAAATAGATCGTATTTCGCTTCGCTGTTTCCCTTGGAATTTTTTTTCCCTTCATGCTTTCTTTTTCAAAAGAAACAGTCTTGCGATGATATTATTAACTTCTTTTAACTGTCTTAGTCGCTTTCTTTAAAAAATTTTAATTCACTAAAATTAGGTGTTTTTTATACATACTAAATCTGTTTGAATAGCATATAAAATGCGGCTTTAAATAAGAATTACTGCAAAGCAAATTGTGTTAGGTTTCGCACCTAAGATTAAATTATCAATCACTTTGGCTTACTATTTTTTGTTCTTCTTATCTTTTACATGTTTTACATTTTGATTCCGTACTTTTTTCTGTTTGTGATAAATTAAGTTAAGATTTAAACCTTCAGCCTTATATATTTATTCAACAATATTTGCTGCCTTAGCCAAAAGATAAATCTTTGCAAATGACTTTATTTGTTTTAAGTGAATAATGCTTAGCCATGCACCTTGTCAGTAAATTTTTAAAAAAAATGGTTGAGATAAAATAAAAGACCTTTATGCACATCGAAACGTTCTAAACAGATCCATAAACTTCGAAAAGATGGCTATTAGTGTATTCTTCTTCGGAGATTAAGATGAAAAAAACTAACAAATGGTTTTAAAACGTACTTAATTTTATCCATAAGAAACATTTTTCAAAAATGTTGAGCATTAAAATGTTTTATTATTCCTGCGCAAAATAACATTAAACTGAATATTTTTAGTTGTTGATTTAATAATAAATTTTACATTTTTCGTATACTATGAAAGGAAAATGGTTAAAAAATCGAAAACTTTTAGTTACTTTTTAATACAATACACAATTACGTTTAAAACCCATAATTAATTCTTAACAACTTTTGTTTTCTAAAAAGATTACGCATAAAATTCCGAACATTGTTTCTCTTTCTTATTAGTTTAATAAATTTTAAATTAAAAAAAAAATGTATTCTATTACCAACATGAGCAATTGGAATTTTTAAGCAATTCTTTAACCTGACAGTAATTTGATATATTCGAATCCTATGTTTTCTTCATTGTTTTTCTTAAAAATATCTTTTAATTTATGTTTCTAACAATTTATATAATAATAATTCACTTTTTATAGATATCATTTTCTTTGTTCAGAAATTTCAAACACATATTTTTTTTTTAAGTATAATGCTTCTTCAGTTTTAAATTATGGTTGTTTATTGGTGGATCTTCTTTGAAATGTAAAAGTAGATTTGTTCGGAGAAAATCATAATTTATTTTAGAACTATCCAGTAATTACAACAGATTTATATAAACGGGAACGCTGTTAAATACACAAATTCAAAATTTACACACCAATACAAATCCGCTGTCACTATTTCACAATTGTTTTCAGTCGCTCTGATTGAATCTTTGCTTTTCTGTGTCGTCCTTATATAGCTCAACTGTGGCTTCTCGAACTTTCTCGATAAATAATCATTCTAGACCTTTCTAGACTTCCAGAAACATCTATTTTTGTCACAAAAATTTTGCGTCTTGGCGACATTCGCTGAACGAATTTATCGCCAACTTGGTCTCCAAGGTCACTTCTATTTATGTACTACTTTTCAAAGAATATTCACTCTTAACTCGCAAACGATCTTTCCAATCACAATACTGTTTCTACAGAGAAGCAAACAGGTCAAAAATATTAACAGCTTAAAATTAAATAATAAAACTTTGTTTCACTTTTAATCTCTTTTCACAGATAATTAATTATATTATTCATTTAATAATCACAGTACTGCTTTTTAGCTACCTAATTTGCATAATATTATAAGAGAGAGAGAGAGAGAAAGTAGTTTAAAATTAATCCCTACACTGTGCCAAGCATTTAAATATTCCTTATAAAGTCCCTTATTCCTTTTTTTATAATATTTTAATAAAATATAAAATCATAATTATCTCTTAATTTTTTTCGTTATTTGTTGTAATAATTTTGCATAGATATTAACTTAATAGCTTTTCATTTTTCGTTGTTTTTTTTTTCTAATTTTTATAAAACATTTATTAATGTTTCCTCTTCCAATAATTTTCAATAAAGCCTTTATTACATTAATAATTTAAAATTCTTCAACTACATAATAGAATTATTTTTACTAACAAATATAAATAAAGAAACATGACGTAAAATTTTCTTAATATGACTTTAGATTTTCTGGTGATAATTTAAACATTTTAAGTTAATGAATTCAGTAATTTATTAATAAATACAAATCTTGTTACGTAATGTGAAAATTTTATTAAGTATTCATAAAGCTCTCTTTTTTTTATCAGATTTGCTTATTTATTATGTTGATTGTTTTTAAATTTTAATAAATAATGTAATTATGAATAAACTTACATGAAACATTTTTATGTGCGTAATATAAATTTCAGTTTCCTTTTTATGACAAATGGGCAAATATAGTTTCTAAAACTAAGAAACAATTTTAAATATAGTTAGTTGCGTTCGCTTTGAATTTTGGCATTATAATAATTTAATTATTGACGAAAAATGAAAGTGAAAAATACCTTATAATACCAAGCTATTAATAATATTGGTTTCACATAAGAATATTTTAAATACGTTATGCTTACATCCACTTAATAGTTATTAAAATGCAATATTTTTCTAAAAAAGGATGACTAAATGACACAAATGACTAAATACCATTCATAGATATCCTCTTAACTAGTTTTGGGTTTCCTTGTAGTTTCCTTTCCTCCTCCAATTGAATATTTTTTTCTGAATAGCTACTAAGCATAAATTTCTATGGATAGAATGTCACATTTTTCCATTATTATTATTATTTCCGAAAATTTTTTGTTTT